CCCCCCCCTTCCCCCCCCCCGCCACTGTACGGTTTTCCTTATTTAACTGGGGCCTCAAAGCAATCAGAGGTATATATTGTATAGTGTGTGCATATATAATATCAGTGGTAAGGGACTGAGGCTCTCACAAACGTGCACGTGGGCACCAATACAGTAAAGGGACGAGATATCTAGCTACCAGCGTATATAGCAGGCACCTTACGCGTAGATGCCACCCAAGAAGGGGAAGGGACGACGAAAGAAGAAGGTCGATGTGTTGATTGACCCGGACGAGCCGTTTCGTCAGTCGTTGGATGCGGCATTCTACGTGGCCAAGCCGCGCCGAGAGGGCATCGACGCCGCCTACATGCAGCAGATCGATACCGCCATCCGGGCATTCACAGTGGCGCAGCCACCCGTAGAAGCGGCGACGGTAGAAGCGCAGGAGAAGCTGATTCTGGAGGAGACAGCGACGTCTGTGCCCATCACGGCGGTGCCGTACATTGTGCGTGCGTTGGGTTTCAACCCCACCGGCGAGCAGATGCGGCAGATTGCCTTCCTTGTTCTCTGCGACATGACGCAGGCGAGTGTCTCCACAACAGAGTCGACCCCATCCGCAACAGAGGGATCGCAGGCTGTCAGTGAGCCGAGGCGTGAGATGGAGCGGAGCGAAATGGTGGAGTCGTGTCTGTCGATGATGAGCGTCACCGCAACGTACCTGGAGGGTAAAGCGCTCGGCTTAATGGCCGATCGCCGCAAGTTGGAGGCGGTGCTGCTGGATATGCTGCACACGGGCCTGCTCGTGTATGACATGACGAAGATTGATAGCAAGTCTGTGGTGCCTGTCCCGGCAAGGCGTGTGGCATCGGTGGTGGAGCGCGGCGATCCCGAGCGCGTTGATGAGGTGTTCGACACAATCTGGTGGGCGACGCGGCAGCTCCAGCGCGATGACGGCACGCGATACATTGATGTGGCGGAGCTCCAGCGGCTGATGGAGGTTGCCACCGCCTCGACGCGCAGCGAAGAGCCGGCGTTCACGGCAGAGGAGCTCGAGACGTTCCTGTACTTTGTTCATGACGGGCGGGGGGAGTCGGTTGGCGAGGATACGTTTGCACTGACGGCGTTGTACGGTGGTTAGGCACGCCGTTGATGTTTTGTTGTGCCTCGTTCTCTGTGAAAGGAGGAGGAGGAGGCGGGATGTTTTTTTTTTTT